GCCCCACCCAAACCTCCAGTTCCAGGGCTGTGTTTTTTTGTTTTGGTTTTTTGAGACAGGGCTTCTCTGTGTAGTCCTGGAATTTGTTCTGTAGACCAGGCTGGCCTAGAACTCAGAGACTCATCTGCCTCTGCCTCCCTAGTGATGGATGGGTCTAAAGGCATGTGTCACCACATACGGCTTGAAGGCAGTGGTTTTTTTTTGTTTGTTTTGGGTTTTGGTTTTTCAAGACAGGTTTTCTCTGTGTAACAGTTGTAGATGTTCTGGAACTCGCTTTGTACACCAGGCTGGCCTTGAACTCACAGAGATCCGCCTGCTTCTGCCTCCCAAGTGCTGGGATTACAAGCATGTGCTGCCACAGTCAGTTTATGTACATTGGGGGACTCAAACCCAGGACCTCACCAATGCTAGGTAAGCAGTTGCATCCCCAGCTACCTTCTCCTGTTTTAAAATTGGTATTCTAGATACCCAATATAAGATGAACATAGGCTAGGGCTGTTTGTTGTCTAGACTAATAAGATAATTAAGACTAGGGGGACAGAGAGTGATGTCACAGAAACCAAGGGAACCCAGAGCCTCAAGAAGGGAATGGTCAGCACCAGATATGACAGACAAGTCAAGAAAAATAAGGATCAAAGTCTGCCTTATTAGATTTGGAATGAGAAGGTCAATTGTACATGTTACCATAATGGTTTTATTGGAGGGCTGAGGACAGGTGAAAGCGTGATTAAATTAATAGTTGGTTGACTAATGACAGGTGAGGAAGGGAAGATACTGTAGACTATTATTTGGGTAGCTTGGTTGTGCAGCATGCAGGGAGTGTAACCAGATGTGGCAGGTAACCAGGCAGGCAACCAGATGTGGATTCCTGGTTAAAGGAAATGACCCTTTGATTTTCAGTCAAGAATTGCTCTTTGGTCACAGGACTTGGAGACATCAAATTACTGCCTGGAAGTCTCCTCCTTGGTAGCTAGCTTTCAAAATGTTGGAAAATGCTATGCAAGCTGCTGGGCTGGGGGTGTGGGGTATGGGGGTATGTGGGGGTGGTGGTGGTGGTAAGGAACAGTTATCAACAGTCCTACCCAGGTATAAATCCTGCAAATTACAACTTGCTGGGCCATGGTGGCACTAATATCTTGAGGGTAACCAAGAGCTGTAAGATTGGACTTAAGGCCCACTCAGTAGTAGGGAACTAAGATCTGGTATTGTAAAACTAGCCAAGGATCCATGACTGGAGAGGTCACAGGCCCTAAGGACAGCCTAAGACTACCATTTTGCTAAAGAGATTATAAACATAAACTGTCTTCTAAATATTGATCCTTATACCCATAGATAAGTGCAGATCTTACCTCTCATCGAAGAAGCTTCTTTTTGAGCAGATGGAATCTATTCTAGAGAACCACAGCTTGTCAGAGTGTAGAACATAAGTGGCCATGAAGTGCCCATCCTGAATGGGACATTTTTAACACAACATCTACAGCAAAGGGTTTCAGAAAATACCGTAAAGTCCAGAGGACCAGGACTTATGTGAGCTAGTGTCTTCTGGACATGAACTCCCAACAGTGTGGCTACCTGCATGTGACCCTATCTGGAGCAGGAAGCTAGCTAATTGCTTACATCTTGAACTGCAAGCATGATGCAGAGAGAACAACCTGGAAGATGACTTAAGTCCTAAAGCCTGCCTCCAGTGACACACTTCCTCCAACAAAGCTGCAACTCCTAAACCTTCCAAAACAGCACCACCAACTGGGGACCAGGTGGTCAAATACATGAGCCTATGAGGGACATTTTCATTTAAACCATCACATTTATTCAAGTGATCAACGCCCTCCCCCAAATATATACAGACACACCTACAAACAACATGCATGTGTGCCTGTGTGCCTCTGTGTGTGTGTGTGTGTGTGTGTGTGTGTGTGTGTGTATGTGTGTGTGTGTAGAGTAGAGAGAGTGGATGCTAGCAGCATATCTTCAGCCTGAGGAAGTTACTCTGTCTTACATCCTTGGTGTAGAAATAATAACATTAACTGCTCCATCCCACTCTGTGTGAGAATTAAACAGGTTCAAAGATGTAAAGGGCTTAGGGTGGTGTCTTGCACGCAGTAGGTGTTCCATTAGGTACCATTATCAGGTCAAAGATGACCAAAACAGACAGGGAGCCAGGCATAGTGGTACATGCCTTTAATGTCATCACTTGAGAGGCAGAAGCAGGCACATTGCAGTGAGTTCAAGGCCAGCCTGGTCTACACAGTGAGTTCCAAGACAGCCAGAGTTACGTAATGAGACCCTTTTTTGTTTTCCAACAAAAAGAAAGAAACAGACAAGGAAGCTTCCTTAGTATCGGAAACTTCCAAATCAACAGAACAAAAAGAAAAGAAGAAATCAGTTTCAGAACGGATGTTTGCAAAACACCAGGGAGGGAAGTGAGGCTTTCCTAGACCTAGCTTTCCGATAATATCGCAGAGCTCTATTCTGAGCCTCTGCAGAACAACCTACACTATCTAGGGCTTTCGATGAACGGAACAGCGGCACAGAAGAGAGCGCCTTTCTTTCTTGCTCTTTTCCCATTCCCCTCAAAGGTGACAAGACAGAAACCAGGACATTCCCTCTTCTTGCAACCCACTCTACTCCAGAGCATGCTGACTTGACGAGCTCCAGTTTCGGCTTAGCTGGCTGTGGAGCCCCTGGAGCTCTCCAGGCTGCAGGTTACAACCTGCAGCTGCCTTTCTTCCTTCACCTGTCACTGGATGACTTCCAGGCCTCTGAGAATCCTTTTCTGCATCTTCACTAAGAAGTCAAAGGAGACCTAGAGTCCAAAGGGAGACTGGTCACATTTCCTCAGGGGTTTTGTCCTGAATTTCCACGTAAATATAATCTCCAACTGAAACTGCCTAACCTTCATTTTTCTTTCCTCGCTGCCCCTTTAAGAAGCTAGATTGGAGTTGGCCATTGTAGCTCACACCTATAATCAAGGTAGCCAAGGAAGGCTGAGGCAGAAACATGTAGTCTGGATTGCTCTCAAACTATGGTAATCTTCCTGCTTTGGCTTGCTCAGTGTTGGGATTACAGCATGTCCAGCGTTATTCATTTCGGACCTAGCATTCCTAACACGCAGTAAGGCCACTGACTGATTTTTGTGTTGGCTAAATAGAACATGTTTGCAGGATAGACTTGGCTCACAAGCCACCAATTAGCAGTCTCTGTTAGGCTGATAAACAGTATTTTCACTAACACGTACAATAAATGTACCTGTGTTTTTTTTTTTTTACTGCAGGTTTAGGTGACACAGCTTTTGAAATATGCCTATTATTGTCTCCATTTTTCATAGAAAAAGATGAAATTTGAACCACCAAATAACTTGCACGGGTTGGGAAATGAGTGAGATTTGAGTTTAGTTTGCTTCCATATCTCAAGGTTAGGACTTAAAGGACTCAGAGGCAGTGGTGAGGGTTGAGTGCATCCGCTTATCTTGAAGGGCGAGTCAGCAAGCAAGCAGAGAGGGGCGAGTCAGTCCGAGAAAATCATTACAACCGAGGATCAAATGCTGAGGTTTTACCAAGGAGATGAAGAGGTTTTCAGATGAAGGGTCAGCCCCTGGGCAGCTTGGTCTCAATACAAATTTTGAGAGTTAAGAGTAGTACAGAAGCCAAGTGTGGTGAGGCACAGGCCTTTAGCCCCACCCAGCACTGGGGAGTCAGAGGCAGGTGGATCTCTGAGTTGGAGACCAGCCTGGTCTACTGAGTTGAGTTTACAGGACAGCCCAGGCTAGGTACAGAGGCAGGCCAGGAGGCTCAGGCCTGTTATTCCAACTACCTGAGAGGTTGAGACAGGAAGACTGCAAGTTCAAGGCCAATTTGAGCAACTCGGTGTGGGCCAGTGTCAAAACCCCAAGCACAGGGGCTGGAGAGGGATGGTTCAGTGGTTAACCACACTGGTTGTTACTCCAAAGGACCTGGGTTCAATTCTAGGCACTTATAAGGTAGAGATCACAACTGTCTGTAACTCCAGTTCCAGGGGATCTGACACCGTCTTCTGAGCTCATCTGGAACTGCATGCACTTGGTCACAGACACACTTTCAGGCAAACACCCCTACACATTAAAAAACAAAACAAAACAAAACAACAAACAAACAAAAAACCCCACCAAAGTAGAAAAAAAAAACAATCCAACCCAACCCAAACAAACACACACACACACACACACACACACACACACACACACACACACACACAAACCAAAACACTCACCCACCAAATGAACAACTGTAACAAAACCCCAAACATGGCCATAGAGATGGTTCAGTGGGAAAAGGCTCTGGGTGGCAAGGCTGATGACCTGGATTCCACCCCTCGGACCCACACAGTAGGAGAGAACTGACTCCTGAAAGTTGTCCTTTGACACATGCTTCCACAGGTGTGTAGACACACACATACAATAAACAAACAAACAAACAAACAAACGAACAAATAAATGAACAGGGGGAAAAGCCCAACACAAAAAAGAAAAGGAGCTTTGGAGTATATGCATCTTTCCAGCTCACTAGCCCATTCCCATTCTCAGAAGTGACTTTCTTTCTTTTCTTTTGTTTTTTGAGACAGTTTCTCTGCGTATCACACCCTGGCTATACTGGAACTCACTCTATAGACCAAGCAGGCCTTGAACTCACAGCGATTGGTCTACCTTTGCCTCTGGAGTACTGGGACTAAAGGCATGCACCACCACGCCCAGCTGCCTTTCTCTTTTTTAATAAACGATCTCTATTATCTCAAAAAATAATAAAAGTAAGGCTGGGAATATAATTCAAAGGTAGAGCGCTTGCCTAACATGCATAGAACCTTAATTTCAATCTCCAGAGCCCCGCTACCACACCCCCAAAAAGAAAGAAAGAAGTAAAGAAAGAGAGAAGGGAGAGGGAGGTGCAGAAATGGCACAGCTGACTACAAGTTCCAGAGAGCGACGCGCGAATTTTCCCGCCAGCTCCTTGGCCCGCCTTTCGGGAACTACAAATCCCAGCATGCCCCGGGATGCACCGGTCCTCGCCCCTCGCCGGTTCCGCCCCCTTTCCCCACAGCCCCCGCCCGCCGGGCTGGTCTCGGAGAGTTTGTTCGGTGGCCGTGGCCGACGGAGCTGCAACGAGAACCCCAGCAGCGGCACGATGGGTGACTCCAAAGTGAAAGTGGCGGTGCGGGTCCGGCCAATGAACCGACGAGGTGAGCGCTCGTCCCGGGTCGAGGGCGACAGGTGCCTGTGGTGCTGGAGCCTCGGCGTCCCGGGGGGTCCCGGCGGGCACCCCTCACCGCGCGTGCGCCCTCGACGGCGCGGCCGGGCCCTCAGCCCTCCGCCCCGCCAGCTGTCACCGCGCTCGCCAGGCCTCGGGCCGCTCCGGCCTCGCAGCTCGCCTGTGCACGCAGCTCTCCGGGCGGACAGCCCCACTTTTCGATTTTCCACGTTCCATCACTTGAACCTGCTCCTTGGGGCCGTTTGCCGAAAGGAAGGACGTGCATTCATTCTTAGATTCTTCTGGTTTGTGATTGTGGAGAGTTGTTTCTTTTTTTTTTCTTTTGCTTGATAGTTATCAACTCAACAATAAATAGTCTCGGTGCCAAGATTCTTGGGAAATTGTATCTTTTAAACATGCTCTGAAGTCCGTAGGGAGGAGGGTAGAGAAAGTAGATTAAACCCCAGGACACGTAAATCATCTTTCCAAGTTGGACGGACTAAAGCCCAACTCAAGTCCCCAGAGTAGCTGGATTTTGCCTTTGCGGTTTCACCAGAGGCTGCCTGGGTAGGGTACTTTAAATGAGGTGACGTGTTTGAAAACACTTTATGTACAAGTCTTGTTGCTGAGGTCGCTGCTTCACTCCCAGGACATGGAATTGCAGTTAATTGATAAGACTACTGACTAGCTAGAATCGTTTTTGAGTGCCGGGATCACTTTCTAAGGTTTCTTGTTTGTTTTACTGGGTTCAAAATCAAGTGTGGAGGAAATACAGTTTTTCTGTCTCCTTGCCCTTTTGTGTATATAGTGAGGTAGACAGGTCAAACAGTGGACAGAGATTTTTCTGGTTGGTTGTTCTGTGGGAAGTTTAGTTGGTTTTTCTGTCTCTTGGTGTTGGTTTGCCCACCAGAACCTGCCTAAGTCTATGAAGCAAGTTTTCCCCTGGAGACTTAACTTTTTAAGCTTTCAGCTAATTGCCTCCTTGCATCCAGGCTCTCACAAAACAGAGTAACGTGGAACTCTGAAAGTTTTCGAAAGCTTCCATTTTTTGAGTACCCAGACACCTCCTTTAAGTTCACTTCAAGCTTATTGTGATCATCACTGTGATTAGGGAAACAAAAACAAAAACAAAACAGGCCAGATGAAACCCGACTTATCTGGGAATGATTCAGAAAGGATGGGTTCAGCACATTCTTAAAATTTCCTTTTTGCAAAACACTTGGAAATGTCAGTGCTTGAAAGGAGGCCGCTCACAGGCGGCCTCAGCAGGGCTTGGCGCAGGGAGCTGGAGCAGGACTCCTCTTCCTTGTTTTCTGTTACAGGGAGGAAGCTACTCTCTTTCCTAAATTTGCCGCGGTTGTAATTCTGACAGTGGTTGTTAATAATGCTCAGAGTTTTGAGACATGCATCAAATGATTTTAGGTGTGGAGTGCATGTTAGCTGTTCTTTGGATTATCTTCCTACCCCTCTTTCTCTCCTTCCTTCCCCTTTTTCTTGAGACTTTTTCTTGGGTCTTTCTACCTAGCCCTGGCTGCCCTGAAACTCATTAAGTAGACCAGGCTGGCCTCGAACTCACAGAGATCCACCTGCCTCTGCTTCCCAAGTGCTGGGATTAAAGGCGTGGGCCACCAAGCCTGACCCTTCTTTTCTTTTTTTTTTTTAGATGTAGGTGCTAAGGATCTGAACCCTGGCCCTCACTTGTGCAGCACGTCCTTTGCCCACTGTGCCATCCCACCCCTCCCATTCTTTTCTCTTTCTTTCTTTCCTTCTTTCTTTCTTTCTTTCTTTCTTTCTTTCTTTCTTTCTTTCTTTTCTCTCTCTCTCTCTCTCTCTCTCTCTCTCTCTCTCTTTCTTTCTTTCTTTCTAGACAATTTCCTTAAGTCGACCTGGTAGACCTGGAATTTGGGGTCATCCTCCTGCCTCAGCCTCCTGAGTGTTGGGATTGCAGGGGTGCACCAACCACTCCTGGCTGAACACACTTTAAAATGAGTGTTTACAGTTTGGCTCCGTTGTCCGATGACACACTGCCCCCTAGTCTCTTGGCTTACTCTGTCTTGTCTTCTGTTTTCTGATATGCACTGGGGCTTGCCTTTCCAGTGATCATCCCGGGTAATTCCTTCATCAACATTATTATGCAATATAATAGAGAGGAATTTTAAAGCTCGTGATTCCGAGTTGGCATCTTGAAAGTTACTGTGAAAAGGCAGAGTTTTTGCTGAGTTTGAAAAGAATCTTACTGCTTCAAACATTACTTCTGGGAAAATTAATGTTTTAAGTGATAGCATGTGGCTGTCGAGTAGTTGGGTCTGGTCCTGGGTGCTCCTGACTTAGGGTGTGGTATGTGTGTGCAGGAAGCATCCTGAGGATTGACATGGAGATAGGCTGGGAATGGGTCACTGGGATGTATAGACTCTGTTGTTTGGAATGACATTAATGTCTTTTGAGAGAAGTCTGAAGATGTCCAGAACCCTTTGGTGTAGGGTTCAGTTCTTTGTGTGACTCAGAGGCTGGTTGTGTTTAGGGGCTTCAGCTTTTCTGCTCAACTGTCCATGGATTTGGCAAACTTGGTTGAACATCATGCAGTAGACCTTAATGTAATAATAACTAGAGTTATAATGGCTAATTTGTTGAGATAAAGGAGGTGTGTGTGTGTGTGTGTGTGTGTGTGTGTGTGTGTGTGCGCGCGCGCGCGTGCCTGTAATCTCAGCACTTGGAAAGTGGAGGCAGGAAGATTTTAGCTTGAAGTGAGTCTGGGTGGTATACATAGTAAAATTGCTTTTTTTTTTTTTGGTTTTTTGAGACAGGGTTTCTCTGTGTAGCTTTGCGCCTTTCCTGGAACTCACTTGGTAGCCCAGGCTGGCCTCGAACTCACAGAGATCCACCTGGCTCTGCCTCCCGAGTGCTGGGATTAAAGGCATGCGCCACCACCGCCCGGCGAAATTGCTTTTTTAAAAGGTAAAACATTCCCTATATTCTTCTCTGCTGGCCAACTAACCTTCTTCCTCCTGGCCTCTATTTTTCATCATTTTTTCTTTGGTGATACTGGAGACTTAACCAGGGCCTTGCGTATACTAATATTTCCATTCTAGTGTTATACTCACATGCATGTGTAATGTTACATAGTCTTAACATTACAGCTTTTAGTCCTCTGAAATAGTAAGCTAAACTGCTAAAGGAAAGGGGTAACTAGTTTCTTAAAAGATCTTGAAGTTGTATTTACAGATGATGTCTTTTATTTTATTTATTTATTTTTTTGGTATTGTTTTGAGATTGGGTCTCAGGTGACTCACTGAGGTTGGCCTCAGACTTGGGCTGTGTAGCTGAGGCTATCCTTGAACTGATCCTTCTGCCTCTAAGTATTGGGATTACAGACTTGCTCTATCATGTTCAGCTTTGGTCTATTCTTTTAGACTGTACAACTCAGCAGATAAGTTTTACGCCCTTCCACATGCTGCACAGAAGACCTTTTCATATATTATTAATCAATCTAATCATTAAATAACCTGAAAGGTAATTATTTATTATTTTTGTCTTTTGAGACAGGGTTTCTCTGTGTAGCCTTTGGTTTTCCTGGAACTCACTCTGTAGACCAGGCTGGCTTTGAACTCACAGAGATTCACATGCCTCTGCCTCTAGAGTGCTGGGATTAAAGGCGTGCTCCACCATGTCCTGCCCGGCTATTTATTTTTATTTTATGTGCATGAGTGTTTCACCTGCATATATGTTTATGCACCATATGGGTGGAGTATCCAAAGAGGCCAGAGGAGGGTGTTGGATCCCCTGGAACTGGAGTTATAGGTGTTGTAAATTTTCATGTGGGTTCTGGGAACTGAACCCTGGTCTTCTGCTAAAGTAGCTAGTGCTCGTAACCACTGAACCAGCTTCTCTGGACGTTTTCTAAGCATAATTTCCATTATTATATTAGGTACACTCTCCTTTTCAGGAATTTGACATTTTATATAGTTTGGTAGTTTAAAAAAATAATAGGTAAATGAATATTGACTACTTGCCAAGTTTCTAGCTCATACTAGATTGCAGGGGAGCCTCAATCAAGGAACTGCCAATTTTAGAATATGTGCAAGATTATCCAGGAAGAGAAATAAAGTATAAAGGGTTTGGAAAATACCTTTGCCTAAGGGAATGGAACAGAAAATTATGTTAAAAGTTGAGCCAGAAGGGATTATCTCAGGTATTCCTGAGCATAGGTGACACATCTCTTTCAGAAGGTATTTCCAGTGAGTTTAAAATGTGCACATCTGCAGTGTTTCATGTGGGGAAAAACACAAAAAAGTAAGAGATGGTATCCAGAAGAATCAGCGCTTTCATAAGCCACGGTCTTCGGGGCGAATGGAAGGACCCTGGTGTAGCCATTGAAAGCCACGTCGGCCAAGACAGACCTGCTATGTACGGGAAGAACAGAACTTTAAACCGTGTGTGTGAGTAAGAAGGAATCTATTAGTGTGGCTGTGGTTGAGTAGAAACCGTGTAGCATAGGGGCCAGAGCTAGAAGAAGCTGGGAAAGGAAACGGACTGCTCTGGTGGAGAGGATTTTGCCAAAGACGTTGTTTGCGCTGTCCAGTGTTGTCTTGTGTCTTCAAGTGTGCTCTATAGTTTCTGCATGAGGAAATGCCTGTCACGTGAGGAGATAAGATGAAAAAATAAACAGGTATAGCTGACTGCTACTTATTAAGGGCCAGGTGAGTGACAGGGACAGGAGGAATTTAGAGGAGTGAAAGACTTCTGCATGCCTGGTGAGGAAGGGAAATCTTCACTGTGGAGGGCAGATCTCGGTTACAAAACATTCCCAGCAGGAGGCCTATGATTTCCACGGATGGGGAGGGAAGGCCTTGGTTCTCTGAGGAGGAAGTATGGCCCGGGAGCCAAGCACAAAGGACAGGAATGTGCAAGGCTTGTTTAGGCAGCAGAGACAGGCTTGGCCTGTCCCAAAGGAGGATTCCACAGGTTGACTGGAGGAGGGAATGAGGAGGGCTG